AAGTGCTTGGCACATAGTAAGTGTTTAATAAATGTTTGTTTCCCCTCCCCTCTTTGCTGCCAGAGTGGCTGAGGCTGGTGGATCTCTTGAGCTTGGGAGTAAGGCTAAAACTAGTGGGGTGTCTGCATCAAATAAAATACACAGGACAAGGAGACCAAATATATTGAAATGAAGATGTAATTGTTTTCCAACCAAATCCATGCACCCCAGGTTAGTAACACCTGATGGGGGTGGGAGGATGGTTCTTACAGCTCTCTCTCACAGAGCTCATGTCTCTGTCCCTCGGTTACCTGACCAGGTAATTCCCTCTTTTTGAGGTTTATCCCCTCCATTCACAGAGAAACCTAATCCTCCCCAGCTACATGACCTGACTGTTTTTGAAGATATGATGGTCATCTCCTATCTGGATGTACTTTTTATTTTGTGATGTGAGGGCTAAGCCTCCCTCCCTCCCTCCCTCCCTCAAGGGATGACTTCTGATTTGTCTGGTGACTCACAAATAGGTGGGTATCCTGCAGAAGAAACCATGCTTGGTTTGGAGTCAGAGGACCTGGGCTCTTCTAAGCGCCTGTAGACAAATCACTTAGCCTTTCTGGGCCTCGATTTCCTCATCTGTAAAATTGAGGGTGGGGTGTTGAATGGACAGTTTCTAAGGTCCTTTCTGGCTCTACATCTCTGATCTTCAGTCACCCAAAGGTCCCTTTACTTGATCTCCTTTGACCTGTGGCTGTAGTGATTTAAGTTGTAGTCACAAGTCAATAGCTCTTACAAAATGTGAAGAACTGGGACTCTTCTTGAGGGATTCATTGGTTTCTCACTTTTCTGGTTTGTTGCCCCCATCCAGATAATCTGGGAACTTCCTGTTTGTTGCTACTACAGGGTGTTGTCCAAAACGCCCCTTGCGAGCACACATTTCACAAGGTTCAGAGGCAGGCAACGTAGGTTTATTTATAGGTCAGAGGATATAAATAAGACTCATATCAGAGCCTCTTTTAAAAAAAAAACCATATCTGCCAGTGAATAACCTTTCCCAGAGTCCTTTGCAGTCTCAGACACTTAACTATCCTCTTGGGTAGGGCTCCAGCGGGAGGTGGCTCCCCCACATCAATAAAACCTCACTTTCACCCTCATCCAATATTTTATTGACGGCAATAGGAGAGGCTGATTTGAGCTGCATCTTCTTTCTCTGACCTGACCACATGGTGCCCTCTCCCAGCCCATCTGTGCTAACAAAGAGAACTGGGGCCCCAAAGGTTACTGGCTTGGGAGAAGACCTGGATTATACATATACTGGATACCTAATTAGTCTCTGAAATTATAATTGAAAGATGATTGTACCAAGACTGTCAAGCAGGACAGTTATTGGGTAGGTGAGAATGATAGTTAACTATTTTCATAATTTAAAAAAAAAAAATGAAGGCAGGTTGGTCCTTCTCAGACATGCCAGTGGTCAATATGGCTTCAAGGATTACAAACCCAAATACAAACTCTAGAAGGTTTCGATTAAGAAATAAAATAACCAAAGGCAGAGCACTGGGGAAGGGTGATATTCATAACCAGCATCAGTCTTTTAAAAAATCTTCTGTATCTCCATAGGGAATAGAAGCCCAACCCTGACTAGGACCATTGGTGGTGGCAGCTGCCTTCCTGTTCCCACAGCTCAGGTGCCTTGCCTTCTTGGTGAGGCGAGGTGAAGATCAGCTATCTTGTTGAGACAGGATGCAAGGTACAGAGAGAAAGAGGAAAAGAGGAGAAGAGCAAAGATGCATGGGGAGGAAGGAAGAGGGGAGGAAGGTGGAGAGACAAACAGAAAGAAAAGTATGTTTGGTTTGCTCATCACTTACCTCCTGTAAGCACACCACAGTTAATTGGTGTTATAGCTGGGACTCTCTACGGTGACAGGGCAGCATAATTATAGTGTAAGCAGCCTGGGCTGAATTATCTGAATTATTCCATCATTGCAGACTCTCCTTTCTAATAAATTAACCTCTTACTCTTGGGAAGAGGAACAGGGGAAGCCATGACTCATGAGATGGTCAAGGGATTTGAGTAAGGACACAGCCTGGGGGTACTCCCTGACCTCCAAGCTGCCTACCCTTGGATCAATGCCCTGAAGAAGCACAAATAAAATGCCTACATTGGGGAGACCCCCCAAGAACTACACAGAATCATCAATGCCTTCTCCTCATCCCCAAAGGTTTGCTTGAGTCTAAGCCTCTGACCACTGAGAAGCAAATTCAACCTCATGGGTCAAAATAATTTAAACAGAAACAGAAGTGGCCCTTCTGAGATCTCTATCCCTTTAAGTTACCAGCGCCCTCCCCCTTCTCAAAATATTGTGTCTTTACTTAGCTGTGAACATATTCTATTCCCCAGCAATAAATGAGATATTGATAAAGCACTTAGGACAGTGCCTGGCACATAGGAGGTGCTTAATAAATGCGTGTCCCTTTCCTCCTCCCTCCCTCCCCCAGTAAAATGTAAACTCCTGGAGGGCAGATATTGTCTCACTTTTGAATTTGTATCCTGAGCCCCTCTTTTGTGTAGGCAATACCCAGTGAGTATGGAATCAATGTTTTTTTTGTTTTTTCATTAATTTCCCCAGACTGAGAGACAGAAATGGTCCAAGAATCAGGAGCCTGTGACAGCAGTCCCTACAAGGACAAACAAACTGGGGGTGGACTCCTAACTGTATACTAGGAGCATTTTGGGCTGCATTTCCTAACCTCCATCTGGACTCCCTAAAGTCCCAGAGATGGCTAGTTGGTGGAGTGGATAGATTGCTGGATTTGGGAGTCAGGAAGATCTGAGTTCAAATCCAGACTCAGATATATAGCTATGCATCCCTAGGAAAGTCACTTAACCTTTCTCAGCCCCATTTTGTTCATCTGTAAAATGGGCATAATAATAATAATAGCACCTACCCCATAGGGTTGTTGGAATCCAAGTTCCTGTCCTCAAGGAGCATACATTCTAATGGGGGAAGACAATACAGTGAGGTCCTAGGATCTGAGGACCACTAGGCTACTTAGGAAGGACTAAAGGACAACAGGGAGCCCTAATCTCAAAAAAAAAAAACCCACAATAATATATATGAAAACTTTTCAGCGAAATTATCCAACACATGAAGGCAGCTGATAGGCGATGTTTCACACCTATTCTCAAACATCCTGTTTGATGAACTCCTGCTTTTCTTTCAAAGCCCAGGTTGAGAACCATATTTTCTGTAAAGCTTTACCTAATCAGTCTTCCACCCCCAGCCAGAAGTAATGGTTCTCTCCGCCAATTGAACTGAGGCGCGCCACAGACCTTTCCCTTCCCCAAGTTAGCCCTCATTGCCAAATTGCCTAGTTCCCCTTGCATAAAGGCCACTATCAGCTGAGCACTGACCTTCACATTCTCCCTCTTCTGGAGGTATCCCGTGGCCCCATTCATTCTCTTCTTGGTTGTGGACCACCAGCCCTGCCATTGCTGTCCAAGGTGCTTGGATCCTTGCCATCTGCCCTGCTACTTTCCCTGCCTAAGTGATTGTCTGGTATTTCTATCTGCCATGAACTGAACATAGAAGAAGCCCGACTTTGTGTGCTATCTCCCCCTAGTGGAATACAATCTCCATGACAGCAAGAACTTTCTTGTATTTTCTACCTATAACCCCGAGTACTTAGCACAGTGCTAGGCACACAATAAGCACTTAATAAATGCTTTCCCATTCCATATGATCTTCCTTATTAGAATGTAATCTCCTTAATAGCCAAGATTGTTTCCATCTTTATCTCTGTATCCCTATCGCCTAGCCCAGAGCCTGGCACAGAGTAGGTGCTTAATATATGGTTGATTGATTGATTAATCAATTGATTATTGATTCCCTTCTCTTTGTATTCCTAGCATACAACCTAAGTCTACTGGTGCTCAGTCATTGTGTTTTGATCATTATCTATTTCAAAGATGTCATTGATAAAAATAAAGAATCAAGTCCCAAAAGTCTTAGTGCAACTTTCAGCTTTAACAACTAAAAAGCTTTAAGCTTTAACAGGTTAAAATTGCACTAAGACTTTTGGGACCCCCTGCATGCCAAAATATTTACTGCAGCACTTTTTGTGGCAACAAAGAAAACAAAGCAGGTGCCCATCAATTAGGGTATGAGGAACAAGTTGTGCTACATGAATGTAATGGAATATGACTATCCCATAGGAAGTGATGATAAATACAGAGGCCAGGGAATACTTAGCTGAAGTAAGCAGAACAAGGAAAATAATACACATGACTGGAACAAAGAACCATGAGTAAAATCTATAGAATCATAGTGACCAAGCTTGGCTCCAAAGAGGAGAAGTGAGAATTCATCTCTCTCCCTTCTTTGCGGAGGTGGGGAACTGTGGTTATGGAACACTGCACACAATGCGTGGATGAGGTGTTCGCTTCACTGAACTGGCTTTTTCTCTGTTTTACTCTTTGCTATAAGGGCTGGTTCTCTAGGAAAGAAGAGAAGGGAGAAATATGGTGGGGATAAGGGGGGGTGAGGAGGGAGAATGTAGGTGATGTAAACATAAATGATGTCAATTAAAATTAAAAATTCAATTTAAAAAATCATCAGTAGTGTCCATAAGTGATGTCTCTAAATTTTCCACAAATATGTGTGAATTTCACACATCCCTCTGTTCATGGCACGGACCCAAACTATCAATATTTTAATGCCTTTTCCTAAGGCAGAGTCTTTCTTAAGTTAAGAAATCATCCTTCACACCCAAAACATTAACAGAATAAAATTTCTTCTTTATTTATTAATTTAGTTTTCTTTTCTCTCAACATTACATCCTTCCAGCCACAACATGATAGGGAGCCTACAGAACATGGAAAGGAGTCTATGGTTAGCCATCAACATCAAAACCTAGCAATGTTCCTGCCGCTCCACTGAGATCTATAAATAGGATGAAGTTTCACTTGGCAAAAGGGAAAAACCAACGTCTGATATAATGACCACACCCAGAAAAGAGACAGAATAAAATAGGATGTTTTATTTGACACCCCCAATTTTCTGACCCAAGTTGCTTCCTCAACATGATGAAAAGTCTTGGGATGAGCAAAGCTCTTCGAAATTCTCTTTAGAATTATTCATCGCTCTTGACAAATTGAGCCAAAACACCCAGAATTTGAAGTCAATGGCCCAGAATAGTCAAGGATTCAATGAAGTGGATTAAAAGGCATTGTCTCCAAGGAAGAGATTTCAGGCTTTCATTCTAGAGGCCTGTCGACCACAAAGCAGAATAGTCAAGGCTGCCAGGATTTGTACCCATTTCTTTGAAGTCATTAGCCAGCTGCCAAAAATGAATGAAATTGATCAAATTCCCTAAAAGTGAATTTTCTCAGAGTTGTAACAGAGGTTGAAACTGAGGGCTTCTCCTGCTTCCATCCCTTAGCCCAGCTTGTCCTCCATTTCTAGAATGAATGAATCAATGAATTAGGCCTTTATAAAGCACCTAGTGTGTACAAAGCACTGTGCTAAATGCTAGATAGAAGAGAGACAGTTTATGCTCTCAAGGAGCTCTCAGTCTAATGAGGGAATACAACACATGGGGAAGGATTAGCTGCCAAGTCAAGTGGGAAGGTCCCATGGTCCTTAGGATGGAGCAGCAAAGCAAATAGTCTTGCCTCTTGTTAAATGTCATCTTCACTGATAAAAATCATAGCGGTCTCTGATGTTGAACCATTTGATAAAGCCAAGGACAAGAACTTTCTTCTGGGGATCTATGACTATGGGTGTAATATCTACAAGAGCAGTTGCCCAGTTATATCTTCCCACAATGGTGGCTAAGAGCGGTGGGCTGGAAGTATTGTCATTCCCAAGGCTCTGGGGCTGGGGCTCCTGGGCTATCTTCATCAGGCTCAGAGGGGAGGTGGTGGTCAAGATGGTGGTGGTGGTTTGACTTTCTTGGCACAGGCTCTCTCCTCTCCCTTTCTCAGGGTATCTTGTTGCTCTAATTAGGCTGGTTTACCTGCCTAGAAGGGTCTTGTTGAAAGGTGGCATGGTATTGTGGAAAGAATGCTGGTCTGGAGTCAGAACACCTGCATTCAAATCCTCCTTCTTCCATCTGCATAACCTTGGCAAATCGCTTACTTTTCTGTGCCTCAGTTCATGGGCTCATGGACTTAGAGCTAGGAAGGGCCTGGGAGTCCATTAAGTGGAACCCTCCCACTATTTTTCAGATGAGAAAACTGAGGCAGAGTCCAGGAATTGGAACCCAAGTCCTCCTGACTTCAAGTGCACTGATCTATGCACCACCCTACTGCCTGTCTTTTGTGGTTTGCTCATCTGTAAAATGGGAGCGTCTCAAGGTCCCTTCCAGCTCAAAATGTAGGACACTATGATCTCACATCCACCTGTTGGAATCCTTTCAAAGCTCAGAACATGTCACTTTCTGCCCCTCCCCGACTGTCCCCAACCTCCTAGCTGTTAGCGTTTCCCCTTCTCACCCTTCTCCCTGTCTCCAATAGAATATAAACTTCCGAGGGCAAAGACTGTTTTCATTTCAGTCTTTGTAAACCAACATCTAGCACAGAGTAGGTGCTTTATGCTTCTTTCATTCTACTGATGTGCCACAGTCAACATGATAAAGAAATGGCAGATCTGGGGCAAGTGTTCCAACCTGTACATTTAGCGCAAAATAGAGATGAGAATGATGGGTTTTTGACTGGGAAGAAAACACCAGGCCCATTGTCATCCTTTCCCAGCAGGCAGGTAGTTCCCAAACCTTTTCCCCAACCACCGCCAAGATGAAAGAGCCCAGGTAGTGTATCTTGGTTAGGCCTGCCTGCCTGGGGGCCTGGAGGCCAGCTCCAGCCCCAACTCCTGTGTTTGATTTCAAAACAGAAATAAAACCATAACGCTCTTCCTTCCTTTCATGATTAAGACATGGGGCAGGTCCCAAAAGCCCAACAGAAAAGAAATCAGATTGTTCTCCTGCAATGGGGGTGATTCAAGCAAAAACACACACACCTCTTGGAGTTCTTGGGACAGTCTAGGAGTGTCTCCCACTAGCAAATATCATAATGATGTCACAGGGAGGCACTCAGATTCAGCGCCCAGTTCTATAAATAAAGTTAAGTCACACTTGCAGAACAAAACAAAACAAAAGCCCACACATTGATACAGTAAAACCAAACCAGACCAAACCAAACCAAAGAAAACACACCCACACCCACACAATGAAATAGGATTTTTGGCTTGAAGTTTTCCAAAAGGAGATGGGAGAACCAAATGTCTTAAATGTGTTCTTCCCTGAAACTTCCTTTTGGATTTTTCACCTCTTTTGCCAAGAATGAGCCAAAGCATTTATTAACCAAAGACACCAGTGACTTTGAAACCCTTGGCCCATGATGGCATCCAGTAGGGATTCCAATGGTACGGACCAAACAGCACTGCTTCCAAGGAAGAGATTTGAACTCGATTCAAGCCTGCCCCTAAAGAAGGTGGGATGTGTGCTTGGGTCACCATCCCATTTCCCTAGAGGGCTGGGCTTCGACTCAGGAGGCCTGGGTTCGAATTCCAGCTCTGACACCGGCCACGTCCTCAGAATCAGGTCCCTTCGCTTCTCCTTTTGCATCTATTAAATGTGGATGATCCTCCACAGGGCTTTGTAAACCTTAAAACACCATATAAATAGGAAATCCTGTTGTACACACACCCCCGCCCCCTCCTCCCTCTCTGCCCATCATACAGAAACCGCGCCAGGGACGATCAGCCTGATGTGGGTGTAGGACTTCCTGATGGTGACGCTGCCGTGGTGGGAGACCCCCCGGGGGAGCACACACTCCTCGGTCAGTTTCTGAGTCTCTGTGTCCCAGCACAGCACGGTGGCAATGACCTCGTTCTTCTCATCCCTTCCCCCAGTAATGTACAGCCTGTTGTTACAGGGGGAGATCCCGCAGCTGGCCCGCTCCTGGCTGAGCTGGGTCACCAGGCACCAGCTGTCCTCCAGAGGGTTGTACGAATACAAGGCTTTCATGGCCCCACCTAGGAGATAAGAGAGATGCCGGCTGCTGTCTGTTGTGCTGAAAGCGTCCACCGAGCCGCTCAGATCCTCCAGACCCGCGGTCCTCCAAACCGATTCAATGAAAATCGTCTATTAAACCCCT